ACGGCACCTGATCCAGGCCCACGTGGACACTGCTGCTGAGGATGTGGCTCGACCGACTTACGACAGTACAAAAACAGCATTCCAACTAGGACCGGGAGTAGGCGCTTTTTTCCTTTTTTTTGGGTTGGGGTTCCCTTGTAATCCCCTTAACCAAATAGGGCACCCTTTTTATTCCTAGGTTACTCCCGGGTCTAGAATCCATTTCCCTTCATTAAAGGCCGCCCCTAAAGGAGCTCCGGAGATTGGCACAGTAGTCGTTTAGAAGGAGGGGCTTTCTGAAGTCTCAGACGTTGTTTTGCATCTCGTAGCCACTGCTTCGAGAGTTGGGCTCAGCGTCGCAGGGTTGGTCATAGGTTTTCTTTTCGCAGTTGCTTGTCGAGCCTGGAGCCATTCTTTTGCTTGCGCTGACACGTGCGCTTGGAGTTTCGCAGTGCGACCTTCTTCATGGACCTCCACTCAGCGCTAGAACTCGGCATATAGCCCAAGACACGTGTGCCCAACAGTATAGAATACAGAAGCAGCTCCAAGACCCTGCAGTGCGCTCGCTTCAGGCAAAATTCCTCGCGCGGCGTACACGCTACGAGCGCGAACTGGGCCTCGACAAGAAGGACTGACCCGCGCATTTGAAAATGCTAACGCACGTGGACCCGAGTGTCTGCAACCCTACCCGCAGTTTCTCAACCCTAAACCCTAAACCTCAAACCCTAAGCCTTAAACCCTAAACCTCAAACCCTAAACCCTAAACCGCCTCTGTCACCCTGCAAACAGCCAGCCCATGCTTGCCTAATGTTGGTAGCACATGATTGGGCACGGGGCGGCTCAAATGAGTAATCCAAGGTTGCATACATCATGGAAGCTTGGATGTACAATCTGGGAAAGGAGCGCCTGAGGTTCCGGGATCTATTCGTTGCCGGTAACTTCCTAAGTCCCATTATGAACTTTCGTGACTGTGCGTCCACATAGGCGGGAGTAGAAACATCTATGAGAGCAGGTCTGCTTCTCTATCCCCCTTGGGAATTATTTTTGTTTTTGGTTCATAGAATATAAAGCCCAAGAGGATATTGAAAATATTACTTTTATTAAAGTTCAAAGGGGAGTATAGTCTTGTGTAAGAAGCATATAGCTCTGGCATTCCCAGCACAACGATGTCGGGCTTACTCTCCTTGGCCTCTCTCGGCTTCTGACCCGAGCGTCAGCGATTAAAGTACACCCTAAATGCCAGTAGGGAGACGATGAGACAACAACTTGCAGCTGCTAGTTTGTGATTTTTTTATGGGTAACCCTAAACCCTAAACCCTATTTCGCATCCGGTAAGTGCTCGTGAACCTTCGAGTAGGATGCAGAGCTGCTACGGAAGCTGCCGCGCGAGGCACAGCCTTGCAAAGCGCCCAGGAAGTCGAAGCCTTATAAAGCCAGTTTACCCTCAGGATCCATGTACCTAAATAGCAAAATACTTGGGCCCTAGAGGGTTTAGGGTTTAGGGTTTAGGGTTTAGGGTTTACGGGAGGGCCCCAGTATATACGCCCAGATCCAGGCGCTGTGAGTTTTTTTGGGAAGCCCTGCATTCCAAGCTTTTAATGCCGTATCCCAACCCTAGCATGATAGATAAATTGGCAGTTGGGGTTTGGGGTTGGCAGTTTTGGTTCACAAAAATGCAAGCTTGAAAGTTGGCCCAAACATCCTTGGAATTGTTTAGGTTTTCTGCGGGCTCACTGAATGAAAGGCTAGAACAGAAGCAGCCTAAATTGTGCTGAAGGATCATGACTAGTTCTTAGTGGGGCGACAAGTCCCTTGATCAAATTTCTAACGCTTATACCCAGTCCGAGCTATGTCTGCCCTATACACAAGACTGCAAAAAACCCAGTAAAGTTCATGTGTCCTCTACGTATTAAGGACAGTTGGCCGCAACATGCAAGCCTCATGTAGAATTCGGGAGGTAAGGGGGGTTAAAAGGAGATTTCTACTTCCCCCTAGACGCAAAACTCTAAACCCTAAACCGAAATCCCACAAAACACACGCCTCGAGCGCTGAACGACGGTGCGGAGGCGGCAGAGCTTGTTATGGCCGAGATGCCAGCCTCAGAGTTTCCCGGCTTGACAGCTACGAGGGGCTTAAGACCTTTAATAAGTTGGGATGTTCCCCAATATACGAACAGTCCCCCCATTATGTAATCCCTATTGAGGACTGTTCGTATAAGGGGGAACATCCCAACCTTTCAGCCATTTTAGGCTTCAGGAGTGTAGGGTTTAGGGGAACACAGGCTTTGTGAGGCGCTTTCGGGTCAGGGTTTAAAGCCCTAAACCCCAGTGCTTACCCAGAGTCCCATATTGGCCGAGCAGAGTTCAGTCCGAAGCCTCAGTTCCAGGATCATGGGTGCCTGTCATACTGGGCTTATAAGCATCATTTTGGAAGCGAAGTATCTGCACATGAACCTTCAAGTCAGAGGCCCAAACCATAGGCCCCTGGAGCCCTCAACCGCCCGCTTGCAATTCCACCAGCGGCTTTTTGATCGGTTCGAGGGCAATCAGCAAGTACACAGGCAGAACGACGTACATACACACATGTTGGGATGTCACCCCTTACACTAACAGGCCTGAATTCAGGAGTATGCGAGGGATACGATATCCCCTACAAAGGACTGTTAGTGTAAGGGGGAACATCCCAACACACATGCGCAAAACAGATGCCAAGATGACTCTAAGCAGGCTGCCGGAGATGCGGCGCCGCGTCTCGGAATGCCTCGGCCGCTCGACATTTGCCCACGGTTTAGGGTTCAGGGTTTTGGGGTTTTGGGGTTTAGGGTTTAGGGGTTAGGGTTTAGAGTTTTGGGGTCTGCCGTTTGGGGGTTATGGGCTTAGGGATGAAGCGGTTGGATTTAGGGCTGGATCCTGTCCGAATCCAAGCACACTCATTCTCTCTTTCTCTATCTCTCTCGATCTCTCTCTCTCTCTCTCTCTATCTCTCTCTTCTCGATTTCGAGGGCATTAAATAAGTTTGTGGTCTTCAGGAGAGTTAGGGTTTCGGGTTTCGGGTGGGGATTTCAGGCTTTGGGAAAGCCTACCTCTCAGGGTTGAGGATATGCAGCGAGCTCGCGCGCGCGCGCGTCGTCGTACATCGCTTGTGCCTTTGGATCTGCATCCCAAGTCTTCCTGACTTGCCACATGGGTTCAGCTGGTTGAGCGATGGTCGATGTCCTCAGGTTCCGTCAAGTACAGGCGGGGCCGTGGAATCATGTGCAGACAGAGTTCATGGGATGCATCTGCTTTCCCTCAGGATCCATGTGCCCACATAGTATATGCTTGTGCCGAACTAGTGCTCTAGGAACCCTTTTGGGGCCCGAGTATCTAGAGAGGTACATGGATGAATTAGGGTTGTCCACAAAGGGCACGGCGGCTCTTTACGTCGTTGCAGTGGGTACAGTCGGAGTTTACTTGCTTGGTGATTGATGTTGGTTGCATTTTCGAACGTGCCAGATCTTTTGCTATGTCTTGCTCTTCAATCTCGGCAATGCTGCATGGGCTCGTTCGCTGGGTGAAATTTGCCGGTTCCTTCGTGAAGCCTGGAAGCTACTCCAAGCCTGTTGCAAAAGGATCCCGGGCTTTCGCAAAGTTTAACGCTCAGGGTTTGTAGGATTTCGGCCTTTCGGAAAGTTTGCGGTTTAAGTGTTTTCGCTCAGGCTCAGGACAGCTTTCGGTTTACGGAACACCCCTTCGCCCGCTGCAACGAGGGCAACCCCTAGGGAGTCTCATTTCTTTATGCTTGGCTAACAAACGGACATAGGGGAGTCTGGGCTTTCATGATACGCTGGCTTCTTTCATGTGTAGCACGAGGTGGGTTATTTACCTTCAAGTTCAGAATGCTCCGCCAAAAGCCCGATGCTCTCGTGCCAACAGTTGCCTTTTGTGGCCGAGGCGACCCGTGTCTGAAGGAGTTTCTGCAGGGGATCAAGGCCGCTCCGTCTCTTAATGACTCTTATGCTTGAACGGGAGGGTTTGGATTTGAAGGCAGTCCGTTCAGTACGGACGAGGCATTGGGATTCAAGGTGCTGACGCTCCGAATCACAAGAGAGCTTCTGAAGTCACCTCTAAAAGTTCATCGCCTGGCAGATCTCGCAAGTCTCAGGACCCCTGAACCCTACCCCGGCCTTTCCTATGAAATTGCTAAAGACACCAATGCCGCCCCAGCAGAAGCAATCAGCACCTTCCAACCCCCATGTACCACCCAAGCTTGAAACGGCGCAGAGGAGCTGGAATCGAGCTGTACCCTTCAGCCTCTTGTGAGCGCCAAGCTCCGCGCGCTGCCCCACCACGCCGTGCAGGCGGTCGGGTTCAGGGCTTACAGTGATCCTAAGGCATAAACAAGGCGCAATCCACTGTTCATCCGTACTGAAACAACGCCAACGGCCTATCTACGTCAGGGGGTATATGGGGGTCCACAGTCTCTTCGTCATGGGAGCTGAAGTGGCCAGGAGATCATCTCGCAGCACGAGCAGCTGGGCTGTTCTGTTCATTGAGCTCGTCACGGTGTAAGTTTCATGGTGGTCAAAAGAGCCACCCTTTGTTTGTCAAGACGCCTCCGAGAGGTCGCCACCCCCGACAATATGTTTAGCTGCACCAAGTTCCCACATGCATACAGTTTAAGATGAATATCTGTAACATAACAGGTATTGTCATTTTATCATGTCATGCATATATTTATGTTATACATATGTAATTATATATATATATATATACATATATATATATATATATATATATAAAGACAAGGCCAATCAAGTTTTTGCACATAAGCCTGAGGCCAGTGCTATTCTGGCATGTAATGTTGGACCTGCTTTGCTACAATGGCCGGCCCCCCTCCACAAAAGTCAAGTTTCGGGTTGGGTTGTGGGTTGTTTCGGTTTGTTTTTTCAGGTACGTGGACCCCGAGTCTCCTGCAGCCATTTTGGCTCGCGGAATATCCGAAACGCTTCCATTTTGGTGTGTGTGCTGCACCCCCTCTCCATGATGCGCCGATGCCTTCTCGCAGTCGTCCTTGTGCACCACGCACAGGGGGAATTGCTCTGTGAGCGCGCCGGGGCTTGCGCTCCGCGTGAAGAGGAGAGTTCCATCCTGCTCCACACTCGACTTACCAAGGCCAACGTGTCGAAGCACATGTCCGGCGGGAAGAGGCTGAATGCTGAGAAACCGCCCCAAGACTATAGTTTCGAGCGATACATGAAGGATTTCGGGAAGGACTACGACCCCGCCTCCAGCGAGTATGCAGAGAGGAAGGAGGCTTTCGAAGTGGCATTGAAGGCTGTTCAAGCCCATAACGCAGACGCCTCGCAAACATACAAGCTGGGTCTCAACGTGTTCTCAGACTGGAGTGCGAAGGAGCTCAAATCATTGAGGGGTCTGAAGAAGATGAAAAAGGAAGCCTCTGCTTTCAAGGTGAAGCCCCTCAATCCTCACAAGCCGGAGAAGTACCCCAAGAAGGTGGATTGGCGTGAGTCCTACCCGTCTGTTGTGTCTTTGTCATGGTTGGGTAACATTTTACATTTTTAAGGGTACTTAAATAAATCCAACAAGGAATAAACAATCAAGTTTTTAACATTATCCCAACCATGAACTAGGTGTCCCCGGCGAAGAACCAGGGCCATTGCGGATCTTGCTGGGCCTTCGCCACGGCAGGGGTCGTCGAGACCTGCGCTGCCATAGCGTCCGGAGTCTCTATCCCCCTTGGGAGTTATTTTTTGTTTAGATAAAAACCCAAGAGGATATTTAAGAATATTATTGTTATTAAGGTTCTAAGGGGAGTATAGGAGTGCTGACAATCCTCTCGCCTCAGCAGCTCGTGTCCTGCGCGGAGAACAAATTCCATTGCGGCGGCACCGGTGGCTGCCAAGGCTCCACGGCAGAGATTGCCATGGACTACATCATCAAGAATGGGATGACCTACGAGGACGTGATCCCATACGGCGACTTCTTCGGCAACGGCCCCAAGTGCAGCATTCAGATGCAGTTCCATGCCATGGCGTACAAGATGGTAACGATCCAGGGGTGGGTCAAGACGGAGACGAACTCCCTCGAAGATGTCACTCGGAGCCAGAGTCGGCCTGAGTAGGCCCCGTATTCCCTTTTTTTGGTTAGGGTGTAGGCTCCCCTAGAATTTAAGCCCCTATTAGAAACCAAAAAGGGCACCCTAGTTGATTCCTAGGATACTCTTGTGTCTAGGTCATGCACGCCCTTGTGAACTATGGATCGCTGGCCATCTCCGTGGACGCCTCGGACTGGAGCGCCTACAGCTCCGGCATTGCCAACCCTTGTAAAGGCAAGGACAATGTTGCTGGGCAGGCCCTTGGGGTATTTTACATTTTCCGTTATTTGGGCTTAAGATAGTTTAAGAGGATCAGATTTAGGAACATGTTTCAGAGGGTTTTTCAGGGCCATCCTAGGTTGACATCGATCATGCCGTCAACCTTGTTGGATATGGTGAGGAGGATGGCATGCTGTTCTGGATTGTGAGGAACTCTTGGGGCGCAACTTGGGGCGAGAACGGCTACATTCGGCTGGAGAGGCAGGGGAAGAAGAAGGAGTGCTACATGGACAAGACGCCCCACCATGGGAGCGCCTGTGAAGCTGACCCAGACACGCCTGTGGAAGTCTGCGGCACCTGCGGCATCCTCTACGATGTGAGCTACCCTGAAGGGTGCGAGGTGGTCGGGGCCGGAAAGGGAGCCGTCGACCGCTGAGCGCATGAATGCGCTGTATACGTTTAACTGTTTAAACGTGGTTGTTCCGAGTTCGTCCGCACTGGGACTTATAGGGCTTAAATGTCTTTTTCACAGAATGCCAGGCTGCACTCAAGCTAGATTGCTAGCGAAGTCTTGGAACCAAGACAAAGCAACCCACAAGATTGTTTTCCCTCTTTATGGAGTCTGCTGCAGAGGCACTTGGCCTGATGATCCACAGAATTTTGTATCACGTGGACATCCGGGTCAAAGCACGCAGCAAGCTCGCATGATTATCTGGCTCCTACTTACTGGTGAACCAGTTTAAGGAACGGGCCCGTTATGATAAAACACAGAAGAACCGCTGAGAAGAGGTGCAACTCGACTCGGCCTGCTTAAGAATTAGGTGTGCGCAGGTGTTTCAAAGCTTCGTCTGTCGTCCCGAAGTGTTACCCTGCAGTGCGGCTGGTTCGCGTGGCGGGTGGCAGTAAACCCTAAACTTTGGAATGTTCCCCCTTATACTACCGGTCCTTGATAGGGAACATAGTACCCCCTATGATAATCCCTATTCAGGACTGTTAGTATGAGGGGGAACATCCCTAAACCCTCAAACCCTAAATCCCAAACCCCAAACCCCAAACCCTAAACCCTAAACCCTAAACCCCTAAACCCTAAAACACGAACCGGTAGCCAAGGCAAGCACGGAGAGAGCACTCCTGGGATGCTGCGAAATTTGCGGCGCGTGCTCCTTTGCTTTCCATAGTTCTCCTGCTTTTTGGGTATCTTGTTCTGAATGGGGGCGGGGTAGCCCTAAACCCTAAACCCTAAACCCTGAACCCTGAACCCTCAACCCTGAACCCTGAACCCAAACTTTAGGGTTTAGGGCTTAGGGGCATCAAGGAGGCCCCAGCTGCAAGAAAGATGGCGCTTAGGGGTTTAGGGGACCCTTCGCAGATCCTCGAAATGACGGTCATCCTCACTCTATTGGAACATTTCGAGGGAGCCCCAAGATGGGTGTACCTCCTTTTTTTTGGCAACCCAGGGCTGCCCGGAGCTAGCTAGCTATGGGTCAATCTCCAAGCTGCAAGGCGCCAGAAACTTAGGGTTTAGGGTTTAGGGCTTAGGGCTTAGGGCTTAGGGTTCATTTAGAGTTTATTTCATCAACATAAGAAAGAGACAGTGTGCGGCGAGATGGATTGTAGACACGAAGGTTGGTCAGAAAGCTGATCGAGGATACCCACCAAAGGTTTTTGCTTCGAGTATTTTGAGGTTTAGGCTTTCAGGTTTATGGGTGTATGGCTAGTAGGTTGGGGGGCTAAACCCTAAACCCTGAACCCCAAACCCTTTCTCGTGGCGGCCTTGGTGTTTGGAGGTTCAGAGTCTCGTCGAGAGCTGGCTCTGGAGCTCTTCTCTCAAAGAGGCACACGGGGAGTTCTGGGTTTAGGGTTTAGGGTTTGGGTTTAGGGTTTGGGGGTTATAGGGGCTTCGGGTCCTAGCGGCAATTCTCGCGGCTCCATGCTGATACCTACCACATGTTCAACAACCACGCGTTTGTGCAGTTCAGTCAGTGCGTCATGGGAACGTCGGCTATCTCTGCACATCCGGGTGAGGTATCGCAAGCCTGTTGCAAAAGGGCATTCGGGCACCGAAAAAGTCCCTGAACGACATTTGCTTAAGAAACCCCAAACAAATAAAAAGAACATAATCCCCATAATCCATATACTACCCTTATAAGTTTAGACGTTAGGTTTTGAGAGCCCGCACTGCCGCTTGATTTCCAAGTGCATGCATTCGGTGCCTCCTCCGTCGAAGTACCCTCGACAATTCTGATGCTTCGAAACACGTCAAAGATTGCAGTAGGTTTAGGGTTTCGAGTTTAGGATTTAGGGGCAGCCTTCCTCCAGCCGCTAAAATGGTTTCGCCGTCGTCCAGGACTCTGCCGTCGTCCAGGACTCTGCAGAATCTTGCGGGTGTTTTTAGGGTTCAGGGTTCATTGAGGGGTTCTCACATCATCCCAGCCACAAGAACCCCCAGTTAAGGGTGAAGCGATTGAGGTTTAGGTTGCACCCCAGAGCTCAAAATGTGGAAGGAGACCCGCAAACCTGCCGCGGTCGAAATTCACGTCCGCGAGGCACTGGCTGCTTTACTTGGAGGTTCATGGTATTTAGTAACTTTTTTCAACTGTACTTATCACTGTACTTAGAACCATGTTAGGGCACTTAAGGGGCTTATAAGTGGGCTTATAAGTACAGTTATAATTAGTTACTAAGTACCAGGCACCTCCAAGTAGAATTCAGGGTTTCAACTCGGATTAAGCAGCATGAGCTGGAATTACATATGTTAGCACGTGCTCACTTTGATATCCATGTTGGTTTGCTAGGAATGCATGCAAAACATTCGCTTTGTTGTGCGCAGAAGATGTTGTTGCACTGCCTGCCACTGGGCCACGGTGTTACCATGAGAAATAGCATCCAGCCCATGTTCAATACTATGCCACCATAAGTGTCTTGGCAATTGCAGTGCATAATTCATGCAATTGAATTCTAAGAATACATCGCCGAAACAAAGACTGCGATTCCCGGCATCATCTTAAATTGTCGGTGTACCGGTTGCGGACCGGTCGCTCTGCAGGCTTGAGGAACCGCTTTCAAGACGACTAGACTTCTTAGCCCAGAAGGCAAGATTTTGTATAAGCGTACCCTGCTAATAGCAAAATGAAAGCTTGAAACGTTCAGGGCCCAGGGTACTGGACACAAAAAGAAGAGAATGCAACTTAGGGGGCAGATGGGTGCAGTGGAGCGAAAAGCTGCGCTCACAAGATCGGACAGGGTAGCGGCTGCGTTGAGTAAGGCCCAAACACAAAACATACCTAACTAAGCCCTAAAACTTTCCCTCGCTGCCGGCCTCCGCCCCCTCCCTTCCTCCCTCTTGGCAACATGCTCGAAGGCAAAGTTCGTGCTTCCAAAGAAGGACGCGTTCCTCCTGACTCGGGGGTTTAGGGTTTAGGGTTTGGGGTTTAGGGTTTAGGGACGCCACTTCAGCAACGTAAGATTTTCAGGCATAGACGCAGTGTGGCGACTTGTTAGTTTCTTGAGAGGTTCGGCAGGGTAGCTTAAGGGTTACTTGATCTAACTATAGGGGTAAAGCAATCGGTGTTTTGCTTTAAAGATGTTCCTGAATGCTGTCGTGTGCTGAGCGTCCGATGGTCGCCTATGAGCTTGTCACCGGTCGATGCAGTAGCAGTAGCTGTTTGCAGACGGAGGTTTGCCCGCTTGCATCAACTGACCCAACAGAAGACCCAGCGTAACAAGGACATGGAGATCAACCCCGAAACCTTTCGCAGCCTGCGCAGCACGACTACATCTCAAGGCTTGACAGAATCAGAATGCGCGAGGAGTCAGCCAAACCTGCGACCGAAATCCCTGGCCGCGAGGCCCCGGTCAGCATGTGCGTGTGCAGTCCTAGCTGTGCATATGTTTTGCATCAGAGGGGCACCCGGGGAGGGAGAGGGAGAGGGAGAGGGAGTGTAATGTATGCATTGTTTTCTCTCAGGAACCATCGTTCGCCACATTTCATGAGACTGCTTCCCCTTCCGTGAGGAGGAAGAGATCGAGATCGAGATTCCGGTGCCCAAGAAGGACCGGCTTACCATCACATGAACGCATATGTTTCAGAGTCAGAAGGCCTGAAGGTTCCCATATAAGCTCCTTTCAACAACAAAGCACGCGTGTTTCAAGCAGTTTCGGGACAACCCGGATACGGTTGAGTTTCGGCTTAGGGAACTTCTGGGCTCTGGTACGGATTCAGGGGCCAGAAAAGGCTTTAGGCATCCGGTTCTCCACACCCAGGTTGTGGATTTAGATAGGGTCCAGCTAGAACTTGGGCTATAGTTGCATGTCTTACCGGTACACACGCAGACCTACTCTACGTAACAGCCCTATTATGCAAGTCTAAAGAAAGTGTTTAAGGCGCAGAGTCATGCAATGTGGGGTGTCTCGCGTGACCTGAGGACGTGAGTATGGGGTCACGGTTCAGACTGGTTCCTTATATGGTAGTCGAGTACTCTTCAATGTGAGGTGGGTGGGGATGGGGGAGAAGAAAAATCCCTGGAGAACCACAGGCTCCTTTTGGCGACCTAGCAACTTGCAAGGATTAAGATGGAAGACCCTGAGCAGGCTCCTTTTGACGACCTAGCAACTGCATTGAAACGAGGGTCCCAATGCGATGTAGACCCTATACAGTAGGCTGTTTCAAGCCGAGTGTTCGATACCACGACATCACCTTTGTCCCTAAATGGTTCCAATACAATGCGCCTCATTGAACAGATTCTTCACATATAGGTGGGGGCACCCAAAAAGGCGCCCCTAAACCTCAAAGCCTAAACCTAAACCCCCGCATGTAAGCTTGTTGCATTCTCGGACAGGTTCCGCCGCGAACTGCCCGGCTCCTTTTCTCAGTTTCTTGGGGTTGGGTTGTGCATAAATTCGGGTCCCTGTGATGGAGTGCCCTAAACCCTCGACCCTAAACCCTAAACCCTGTTGGGCAGGGCAATTTGTCCAAGAGCTTCTACTCTACTAAACACGTGATTGCCTTGTGTTCTTGTTGTCGAAGGTCAGCTCCGGCTTGAGAAGGTGTGGGGTGTGGGTTGGGATGAGCTAAGGGCCAGTGCAGGGTGTAGGATGAGGATGCCAAGCATGTTCAGCATTTGGGGGGGGGGAGTACCAACTTAAAGGTCTTTCTTAGGGGTTCGTGGGTAGTTAGAAGCAGTGTTGAACATTCCACCAAACCCCAAAACGAACAATGCATGGAATTCACCTGGAAAGAACAAAGTAAAAACAAATGAAGAAAAGCCCCGAACGCCAAAGTCTCCGGGCCAGCGCAAAGAGCTGAGGGTCTAGGGGTTTCGGGCTCAGGGACATTCAGGTTTAGGGTTTAGGGTTTATAGGGTTTGGCCCAAACGCATTCAGGCATGTTGCTGTCTACTTCCGACAAAGCGCGAAGCTGCCACCGAGGAATGTTTC